GGCACCCATTTGTATTGATATTAATATACACTTTACACTTCGTATTTCAAAAAAAAGTTTACATGTCTAACTTTTGATTCTTTCTTTTTTTTTGAGTTTCATGTTTGATGACAATACCTTAGCTTGAGATGCACTGTCTTTTTCATTTTCTTAAGCCATTGAGATTAATTTGTTGCCTAGTGCTTCAAAAGTCCATCAAGCAACTATCTTGTATTAAACGATGGTCCTATGAGGTTTGTTATAATCATAAAAGAAGATACCCGCACAGCAACATAAAGATTTGAAAGTAAGAGATACAAAGAACATATACAATTTTAACATGGATTAGTGATGACTCTGCAAGTCAAAATCAGCTACAAAATTTTTACTAAAAGAATTCAATTAAAGGTATTCAAGGGGCAGGTATGGGGCATGTGTGCCATCCCCACATTTGGCCCACTAATTATTCACGAGATGCCTCATACTTGGGGCATGTATAAGTTAACAAACTTGCCCCTGCACTGCTGGTAAAGCATGGTACTGGCCACCAACCCTACCACTTGCCTTTATCTGTGTCATCACTTGCCCACCATCTGCTGTAACCCGCCTCACTACCACCAACCAACTTTAGCATTTATCTGCATAAATAAAAATTTTGTAAAAAATAATTCAAGCAAAACGAAATTTTGTTCAAAATATTAAATTCTTTCCAATACAACTATAATATCACATATTATCAATGTCCTAACTTAGTCATTCATGAATTGTTGTATATGTGTGTATGTGGGAGTGTGGTTAGAGAATACATAAGTACCTAGAAAACTTGGTTTATATATAAACAAATTGTAATAAATATTGGATGAGTGGAGACTTTAACCCATGCATGCCCCGTACTCGTTAGTGGTAAGCCTTTTTTAACCTATATCCACTTTTTCATCCATTAATCACCCATTACTTGCTCAGAAATTGGTGGGTAAGGGAGGATGAGCCGATAACCTCCCCAATGACCATTCAAAAATCAATCTTACAACAAGGGCTTTCCTCCTTTTATATGGTGGAAGGAGAAAATTCAAAATTACAAAAGTACCACCATTGTGGAGTTTGTGTTTTAAGTGTATTTTAGTAGGAACTATGTAAATAAGGTATGAACCATTATGTAATTTGCAGATGGGCACTGTATTTATTTGTGCTGTTATATCTTATGTGTTGTATTTGTGTGTGTTTAGTAGGAGAAAATTAGGTAGAAACAGATGAGAGTTGTGCTGATGCTGGAAGTTGTTTTTGTGTATGTTTAGTAGGAGAAACTTAAGGAAACAAATTGGAGTTATGCTGATGCTACAGATGGGGGTTATGCTGATGTTGAAAGTAACTTCCAGGATAGCTGCTCCTCCTTCCCTTTGTTAAAACCTATGTTTTATTTCTGTTTACAGCCAATATATGGTAAATCTCATTACAGTTTGATTACTTTTTTTACTCAAGAGATTGTAGGGTTCTCTATAACTAGCCCTAATAACTATTCAATATAGGTAAGGGAAGAATAACACAGAAGCACTCAAAAACTTCTGCAGATTTTTATGTTAGTCACCCAATAACTTGATCCTTTAGTCAGGACCATAACAACCACATGTAGAAAACCTTACTCGAAGCCCATAGTCATTATTGTTAACTATTTTTAACTTACATTCACTTTGTTATCCATTAAACAGCTAAGGGAGGAATCGCGAGGAACTGCCCTCGTGACCATCCCAAAATCAATCTTACTACAATAGTTTTCCCTCTTTTATATAGTGGAAGGAGAAAAGTCCAATGATATATGACAAATTAGGTTTTAATTTGCCTACTGTAAAATTGGGGAAAACCCTAAATATCACACCTAGGGTTCTCAGGCATCCACTTTTTTTTAAATTAAAATAAAAAGTATAGTATGTATCATTAATTTACAAGTACCAAGCGGTGCCAACCCATGAACAAAATTATTTACAGGTCCATCAGAATTTCAATAAGGAAAACATAACCTTAAGGGTGGAAAATAAGTTGTGACCTAACCTAATGTGATAGAGCCATATTTTATTAAGGATGTTGGTAGAAAGGGCATTTAGGAAGTATAGCCTGTTCCAAGCCTCAGCAAGTCCAATCGCCCTCTCTAAGTTCCGGTCTTGAAATTATGCAAAGAAGAAAGAAAAGATCACTTAAGAATTGAGGTATTAGGGCAACTTAGTTACTGATATTAGACTGGTGTACAATTTAGGAATATATAATACATCAGAAGTGTAAAATGAGAACTAAGCTTTATGGTTCCAGCTATTGTTATTGTGGTTAGAGAACCATCAGCAATAACGATTTTTAATTGCTGGAGCATGGCGCATAGGTGTTAAAAAATTGAGCGGAGTTGATTATGTGCCCTGTGGCTCCTGGGTATACAATCTATTATAATACGAAATACTTATCTTGGGCATTTAAACTATGAGAGGTAGAAAACATTCCTTAATGGGCCAAATAATCTATGCTTCGCAATAGAACATCTAACATGATTTAAGGTTTTAGGCAGTTAAATTGGAGGAATGATATTACCGGCTGGATGGGAGTTGCGGCCGGTGGCTGTGTGTAGAGGTGTAGGTGTGGCTGGACTGTACGGCTGCCTGCATTGACACTATGCAGCAGCTGATGCAGTGGTGGAGCAGACCCGTGACTGGTGAGCAAGCGCTCAGCTGCGTGGTGTGGCTGCCAGGACCAGCAGCTGAGTTAGCTGGACAGGTAACTGACAGGTGTCGGACACGCAGTTGGTGAGTGCGATTGGAGGTGCGGCTAGAGGATTTGGTGCAGCTAATGGTGTCTGAGCGGTTGAGCAGTAGGAGCGCACATGGCTGAGCAGTAGCAGGAGGGGCAGCAGTGCCAGAGGGCCGCAGCTTGTGACTTCCAGCTGCTGGAGCCGGTTATGAAGGTTGGTTTCGTGGGCTGGTGGCCTGTTGTGGTGGCCGGTGGTTGGATGGTGGTGGCCGACAATGAAGGCTAGCCTCCTTAGGGTTGTGTCTTATTTCAACAATGAAAGCCAAATAGGATTTGTAAAAGAGTATGGTTTTTTTTTTTAAATTTAGAGCTTTGGTACCATGTGAACGAGTGAACTATTGTATTTCACTGAATATTACGGCCCTATATATATAAATAAGCGGCAACAATACAAGCAAAAATTAATTGCAGAGATCACAAAGGTCGGGGGTATATTACTGATAGGTCATTTATCCCAATGTAACCCTAATGTACACTTCTTAATAGATAATCCTACACAACTTCAGATAGTTGCTTTAATACATCTATTTGCAAGTAACTTAAGGTTTTTTTTGGGAAAGAAAAAGGTTAGCTAAGGTTTTGCTCACAGTGGTTACTGCAACTAAAAGGACCTATCTGTCACAAAATGTTCCTTTTGCTCGAAAACGTCATGGTTTGACGAGACAAAATCTAATTTGATCATGCAGCTCCACCAATTCACAAATAAGTTAAGTTTTAGGCCTCACTGAATCAAACATTATGGGTTGGTCAGCGTCAGCTTATAATACACTCACAAAGTGGCGAGCTCTATATTCTCAATCAAGTTTGAATTTGTAATCTTCGAACAGAGCGTAAAAATTTTAATTACTAGACTACCGTATTGGTGGCGAAGTAGTTTAAGGTTTAAATAATATCGATTGATTTATGTAAATGAAAAAACAGCTCCACTTTTGGAGAAAACCAGTTATATGTTGGCTTTGAAGCTAATACATGAAATTAAATCTATTTGTGTGGAAGCATAATATTGGTTTACTATTAATTATATTTATTAATAAGGAGCAACACATATAGCTTTAGCAATGACGTCTTGTGCGCATCTCTCACAAAAACAGACACATAAAACTAGTTTTTCTATCAATCTATGCTTCTTTTTTTTTAAATAAAGTAAGATATGTATTGATGTAAGCGCCAAGGGGGCATCACCCATGTACAAATTTATAAATCTATCAATCTATGCTTGTATCTACATCTCACACAAAACACACAAATTGCATACTTGCAGCTACAATTTGATAGTCCTTGCAAATTGAAGAAGTAAAGATATTGGAAATGTCGACATTGTTTGATGAGTTGCTTTCTTATATATGTTTTAGGTGTTCCAGAGCATATAATGCATAAGAATCGTTTGCAAGAGTATACTCAAAGATCATCAATATCACTTCCTGTGTATCAAACTGTGAATTTAGGATTTCAACATGCTCCCAAATTTAGGTCAAGTGTTCTTGTAGATGGAATGGTCTATACCTCTCCAAACACATTTTCACATCGAAAAGCTGCTGAACAGGATGTTGCTAAAGTTGCACTAGAGTGCATATCCAAAAAGATTAGGGATGAAGGATGTCCCCTTATCCGTGAGGTTTGTTATAGTACAATGTCAACTTCATTGATATTTTTTTTGTTTTCATGTTAGTTTATATTCATGATTGATTGTTATTCTTTTTTCTTGTGATTATGTAGAATCATTACTTATCCGTCAAAGAACAATAAAATATACATATTGTGGAATTATTTGGGTGTCTTTTGCATGTTATGTTTCTCTTTGTGGAATTAGTATCTGAATTGATATTTTAGTGTACTTAAGTTTCTTAATGTCAGCAAAGATGCTAGGCTATATATACCTCACCAAACATTTTTTTCATTGAAAAGTTGCTGATCAAGGTGAAGCCAAAGTTGCAACAGAGTGTGTGTAAGAAAAGATTAAGAGTGAAGGATGTTTCCTTATGCGTGAGGTTGTCATATGACAATTTTAACTTGATAGGTATAACTGTTTTTTTTGAGATCATTTGTTAGTATAACTGTTAGCTTTTAGTTTTCATATTAGTTGGTTTCAAGATCATTTGTTAGTTTCATTGCTTGTGACTGTGGAATTATTTGTCAAAGTATCTTAAGATGGCTCTTTTTTTTTCAATTATGAGTTTCTCTTTTGCCTGTTAGTTTTCTCTTAGTCAATAGACAAATGTTATGTTTATTGTAGTGAGATCAAGAACTGAGTTGATATTTTAGTGGACTATTTGGTTTTTCTTTTTTTAATATTAGCCTATATGCTATTATTTCAAAAAAAAACAAATATTAGCCTAGATGCTAGTCATTTTGATTATAATAACAAAATGATGATAATCCCTATTATTAATTGGTAATAACGTCGCTCATTGCATTATAGAAATCTAAGTTTATGTCCTTTTGTGCTAGATTTGTACTCATATTATCTGTTCAAACTGGTCTGAATGGTTGGTGATGTGGTTGTGTTGAAAGATAAGGTTGTTGAAATTTAGAGATTGAAACAAGATTCTTGCAACAATCCCTATGCATGACAAGCTTCTTACCTTTATTTTCACATCAAACTCGAGTACGAAAATTGGAGAATCCTTCCAACGTTCCTTCGCTCTAACTACTTGGTTGTGCTTAGCTACGCCCAAGAAGGCTTCTCCATTTTAAGATCTCCATATGATGACTTGTTCTCTTCCTTAAGATTCATAATGTTTAAAATCTTTCCATAAAACGAAAGTGCAATTTTGGTAAAACAAAAGGTTGCAAAAGTAAGCAGTCAAAAAAAAAAATCTTCCATACCAATTTGAACCACTGAAAAATCAGTCTATAAGAAGCTAAATTGGTCTTGGTGAACCGTGTTGGTCAAGCATGGCTTAAAGCAGTCAAATAAATTATGATTTATATAGCCCACTTGCGGGTCACATGCGAATGAGGCCCAAGTGCGGCACTGTGCCGGACAGCAGCGGGCTTCTAGCAGTCAACTTGATGGGAGGTGGGAATAATATGAGATGCAACTGGGATAAACTTTGGGAAAAAGTAGTGCTTGAGGGAACCCGGAAAACAAGTGGCTTGATCTTCCGCTGCAATTTTGCTGGGCTTCGGGGGTTTGCTAATAAGGGATATTGCCAATGGTAGGGATGGTGTGATCCACTGCCTGATGGTGGCTGCTGAAGTGCATGGTGCATGTTTAGGGCTTTTTGTGTTTGCGATTTTTTCACTAGATGGATATGAGGCTATATAGGTGTAGGATTTTGGGTGTTGGAACGTTTAACTCTCATACCAAGTGATATATGACAAATTAGGAATATTTACCTACTCAGAGATTTGAGAATAAAAATCTAGATATTACTCTTAATATCACATCTAAGAAGTCTTAACAATCAAACACCCATAAAATTGAGAAAACTCTGTAAGTGTTTTGGTAAATAGTTGAATTCTGTCTCAAAAGTGAGATTGCAAAAGGTATTTATAATAATTCCTAAATACCTTTTCTCAGATAATATTATGCTAAGAGATATTAATAGTTATGGAATTATAAAAAATACTACTACTAAAAAATAAAATTTTAAATCTACTAAAGCTATAATAATAGGCTGCAAAATATCATAATAGTTTTATTTTTAAAGGAATTATAATTTCTATTCAGGTAATCTCAACCTAATACATTCAGCATCATTCTTCAATATTTTTCTTTTGTAGTGTGACTCGGAGAAGTATTGGAGGTTCCGTCTGGTAACTTGCCACGAGGTTAAACATCCTATTCTTCCTGGGATCTCTTGCATGCTTTAATTTAAGGGCTACTCAGGAATTGACTGTAGAGATTCATGATTGAGGAAGCTAGCCTCCTACAGAAGGTGATTAGGGCCAAATTTTGGGATTGCCGATAGGGGTATGAGAGCTAGACATCCTACAGCATCTCATGATGAGAGTGTCTGAAAGAAAATTAACGTAAGATGGGTAGACTTTGAGTTTATCAAAATGAGGATTGGCTATGGTAATAGGGTGATCATCTGGCACGTTCAATTTGTATGATGGTTGGCCCTTTCATCGTCAGCTTCCTCATTTTTTCTTTATCTCTTGCAGAAAGAAGATTCTGTGAGTAGTTTCTTTTTCTCATACTCATAGGATATGGGCAGTTAATCTTGTGAGAAACCTGAATGATTGGGAGATTGACGAATGTGCGAGTCTCCTTCAGCACCTCTCTTGTTTAGTGTCCATTTTGAGAGGGATAATAAGTTGGTGTGGGTATTAGAAGCTGTAGTTTTTCTTTACTGTCTAATCCTTCTACGTGCATCTTACTTAGAACATATAAATCCTCAATAACTTCCCATGGAAGCTTATTTGGAAGCCCACTTCTGGGGCAGATGGTAGGCTGGGAAGCGGGGTGATCCTCTTACCATTCTGCCAAAGGTTATTGTAGGGTAATTCTGAGGGGCATGATAAGCAGCAAGAGGTTGGATTCTCATGATTGGTATTCTCCAAAGGAGGGGGAAGATTCTTGTTAATGGGTGCTACTTGTGCATGAGAGCAGCAGGGACAAGAGATCATCTTCGTTTGCAGTAGCCCTTTTTGTTCTTTCTTTGGTGCACTACTCTCAAGTTCCTTGGGTTGGGTTGGGTTTGTCAGGTATTTGGCTGAAGAGGTTTGTTCAGGGCATGGCATTAGGAGTGATAAGCACAAGAGAAGAATAACCATGCTTGTCCCCCTCGTGCCACCATGTAGGTCATTTGGAAGGAAAAGACTAGAAGAGTTTTTAAGGGTTTAACTTTTTCTTTTCGGTAGAGTCAGGGACTGTTTGGTCGACACGCTGGGTTATTTGTAATGCTTTTGAACTGGGTGACACCCCATGGGTTGTTTATATTTAGATCCATCTCTTTTCTGGCAAAAAAATAACTTACGTGCAATAAAGCAATATATATGGTCTTCATACTTAATGATTTGGTTATTTATTGGAAATTAGGTATGGTAAGATATATACATTTTGGATATATGTCATGACTCTATTGGTTAGAGTATTTATTTAAGAAATGGGAGGTCTTGAGTTCAATTCTCAATCTCAACATTTAATTTCTTCTATGTAAGTGCTTTTGTACATGGGTAGTACCCCCGTCTTTTTTGTATTATAATTAATACATACTTTACACTTTTTAGTTTTTTTAAAAAAAGATATATACATTTTGGATTTTCGTCTTTCAATTTTTTTTTTCTTGTTTTTTCAGGATACTGTGTTTTGTAAAAGTATCTTAAATGAATTTGCTGTTAAGATGAATATGGAAAATCCTATATATAACACCGTTCAGTCAGGGGGATTGCTTCCAACTTTTGTATCCTCTTTGGTTTTTAATGGTGTAAGTTACACTGGTGAGGTTGGTAGGACCAAGAAAGAGGCAGAACAACTAGCTGCTCGTGCTGTTATCATCTCTCTTCTAGGTATATAATTATACACCATGGTAAAATATTTAAATTACTTATTGGATATGTTTTGTTTTTCATCTTTTTATATAAGACTAATTGGAGTAATTATACAGGCAATTCTGAGTTTGCAACAATACTTTCTGAGATCATCAAATCTAAAGCAAGACTTTACGTTGCATTGCATAAAGTCAAAGATCCAGGTATGCCCACACTATTGTTCTCCAAGAAATGGTGCTAACAGAGGAGAAACTTTTGTGATTCCGCTTAGAAAAGATAAAAGAAATTCAATCTCTTGTTCTCTCTAATAATGTAACAGCGACTGCAACTTCACAAGCAAGCTCAATAATGCAACCATCTCATCATGATTTCATGATACCAACAGCAGAATGTTCCACTCAACAGATCACTCTTCCAATTGCATTTGTGCCTCTGTGTTCAGGACAACCATCTGAAGGTCCACAAACTGTAAAAAGGAGGCGGAAGAACAAGAAAAAGGCTAATAAGAAATTGCGGGCTGCTCCTCCGTAAGTTTTTTTTCCACTTTCCTCAGTAAGTTTTTTTTTTCACTTCCTTTAAATTTTTTGAAGTGTGTCCTTTTCATGTCTATTTATGATGGATGTCTTATTAGTATTTGTTATTGAAAAAAATACTAAGAACTTTTCTTTTCCTCAAAAAGAAAAGAAAACTAAGAACCTTTGTAACAGTGAAATAAACACTTTTTCCCTTTTAAATTTGGGCATTCTTGCAATCTAATTTTAACAGTCTAGCATTGAGGCAAAGAAATTAACTTCCCTTTTGAATTCAGGGTGTTCTTCGGAATTTTCAAATGGGTGGCTGTATCACACACAATGAATTTCTTCTTTCTAAAATCTTTGCTGAATGTCAATTGTAACATTTGGATCCAAGTGATACTGTTGTCATTTGTTTCCCGAATCCCACAAGTTTCATCAGGAAAGCACTTAAGGTTGTTATGTATTTTCTCATTTGGCTTTTAAATCATTTTCCCTCTTGAGTGATAAACGTAGTAATGGTGATTTTAGGTTGAATAAGTATTTGAAGATTGATATTTTACGTTTAGTAGTGTTTAAGTATCAACCGTTTGCTGCAGATGCTTTTTGCTAAGCATTGTACATTCTACGTGGAAATTGCAGGTTGCCTATTGGCACAATGACTCTGGCTCAAACCCCACCATGTTCGGTGGCCCAGTGAGTGGGATTGCTGTGATCTGTATTTATTTTGTTAGCTTTGGATCTGACCTTTCTCCCATCTTGTAGGATGATGAATATGAAAAAGGATTTGTTCTCAGTATTTTCATATCATTTACACTGCGGATAATAACTTTCAATTCATGTGGCTTCCTTCTTTTCACTTCAAAAACTGCATTTTTTTTTTAGCTTGGCAATCTAATTTTTCCAGTCTAGGAGTGGCTCCTTCTAGTCACCTCTTTTAAAAGAGGAAGATCCGATCAAGAGAGCCAGAAGCTGGGGCTGCCTGCCTGAGCTTTTGGAAGAGAAGTAATGGACACTTTGCCAGAACATCAAGGATCCCAAATGAGGAAAAGCAGTTCGATCGGAAGAATGTCGGGTTCTTCGGACTTTTCAATTCCGTAATTTTCCTTCGAGGTAAAAAGGTAGATCAAGAATCTGTTCCTTGGACTTTATGATGTGTCTGGACATATATTAGATTAGAAAAGATTTTATTACTTGGATTTCTTGTAGTAGGATTTGATTTTCCCACTGGTTTAGATTTACTGCTACAAAGATACTGGTTTAGACAAAAGTACCTTTTTTTTTCTTCTTATATTTCAAGCAAAAGAAAGGTGCTTTTGTCTATCTTGGAACACTTCAATTTTTTTATTTGCAAGAGTTGCAGATACATGTATGAAATAAATAAAGTGTTGTATATAAAATTATTTAACAGTTCATACTTACTTCCAACTACAGTAGTGTAAACGTGAGTCGAATTAAAGCTAATTCGTTCTTAAACTAAGAAATTATACAAATTAATATCGTTTAAGATAAAATTATGAGCTTTGATTTCAAATTAGTTCTTGATATTTAGAATTTTTTAAACTTATGAAAAATATTATATTCTGTCACTCGTCACACAGAATATTTCGTGTAAAGCAAATGCTCTCGTATACCACTCAAAAGAGTATTGATAAACTTGCAGAACATGAGTTGTTTAATATGTCATTAAGGGTTAAATCTAGAGATTAAGAGATGTGTGTATATACGTGTATCTATATATATATGTATTAAATTAATTAATTACCTAACACCCAGTTATAATGTAATACTATACTATACTTTTGTGGTCATCAAGAGTTTCTACATTCAATGTAAGAGACTGAACAACACAAATCTCCTTGAGACATGGAATTTGCTCTTCTGCCATTGCCAGCCTTGTTTTTTTTTCTCTTCTAATTTTTTTTTTCTTCCTGTTAATTAGAAAGCAAACATGTGGATGATGATCTTCATTGGGTTCATAAAAGATATTGTTAATTTGGGTTTTCATCATAATTTGAGAAAAGAGTTTAAGGGTAAGTTTGGAACAGATTGAAAAATATAATATTAACTTGAAGATAAAATTGAATTTCAACACAATTTTGTATAAAACTAACAAGTATATTTTAAATTTTATTATAATTAAGTATGAATTGACAAATTTAAATATATATATATATATATACACAAGTCTATTTGCTTTTTCTCTATTACTAAATCACAATGAGGTTAAAGAAGAAATAAAATGTGGGTTTGTCGTAATAAAAAATAAAGGAGAAATCGTTGTAATAGAATTCGTCCGAGAAAGTAGAGACTATTATTGAAGAAGCTTCTATAAGTCAAGTAAACGGAGTTATCGAAGAAGCTTTCATTCCGTCTATATTAGTATCATACGTGAATTGTATTTGTAATATGTTATTATTAAAAAGGTTGTCTAATGTTATCGGTTGAAATTTATATTATTATTGATGTGTATATATATTACCTAATTAATGAAATATATGAATTTATATTTAAAAAATATATGTATGTATAAGAATATAATAATTATTAATTAATGGAAATATTAAAATGGAGAAATTTATCAATCTTCAATGATCAGCAAGGAATGTAAAATTACATTAAAATAAAGACTCAACCCACGTGGTGATGAGAAAAGGAAACTGTGGAGGAAGCTGCTGCCTCATGATTCCACCTTCTTCATCAACTTAACTCAGACTGAGCTAGCTAGCCATGTCAAGAATCAGAAAGACGTGGGATGGCGCAAGATCCGCCGAGCCTTTTGCTACTGATCTTATACGTATATATATATATATATATATATATGTGTGTATGTGTGTATTTATACATCCACTCCTGCCAGCTAACAATCCCAATGCAGTACATATTAATATTTAATTTGTATATATGGTTTTGCTTACTAATGTAGTATCTTGTTCCCATGAAGGGTGAGATTTAGACGTTTTAATTACATCCAACTCTTTCTAGCTAGCTAGTTTTAATAAATTATATGCAACAAAAACCAATCAATATAATATATACATAAATTATACTTTCAACCTCTACTTATAGGCCTCTGGACATCAATTGTTGTTCTGCATATTTGCCATAACTGCTCTAACCAAGTCCTTGATCTTTCGTTTCTTCACTCTCAATGCCACTTGCCAGGGACTACATGGGCTCAGTTCAACCCTGTGACTTCACCGGAGATTATTCCTCACCGGAGACTTGCGTGTTCGAGGAAGGAGATCGTGTTCCGGACAAGACTAGTCTAGCTTCCAAGAGCTTTACTATGAGCAATTCGCCTCCAAATTCTCGTCCAACAAGTACTGTGAGCTCTACCGGGTTCGTCCTCACGGCTGCTGATCATCATTTCGAGCCCGAAGGATCTTTGATAAACTTCAGAACCGGGTATGATGCCTTCATGGTTGGTAATGGATCTTTGCTTAGCTTCGGAGAGAGGGCTGGATATCCGAAAACAAGCAGTGAGTACTCGGGTTGGGAAGGTGAGTTTAATCAAAGTTATCATTGGAATCAGATTAATCCAAAGAGCAGCTCCGATCTAAGATTGGTGGACGATTTCAATTGTTTCGAAACTGCTGGAAATTTGTACTCCGAAGCGAAAGAAAGCCATGGAGATCATTGGTTATATTCCGAAGCCACCATTGTCACTGCTGATAGCATCCAGGAGTCTGCATCACCAGAAGTTGTGGCCTGCCTTAAACGTCCTCACATGGTATGTTAAGGCATAAATAGTAAATTAAATCCGTTTAGATATTTTAGATAATCACTTATAATTTATTATTCGAATCTTGATTATGATCTGGTTTCTCTCTACTAAAATTTAGCGTCAAGTATGAAATTGAAAACTTCTTTTAATTCATGTTTTCAGTTTACCTTAATATATAAATTATAGATTCAAACATTTTCTATTTGTTTCTTAAATATAATTTCGATTAAAGAAAATTAGGGTTTGATGCAGGAAGAGAGCATGCAGGCTTTGAAGAAGCAATGCAGTAGTAGTAGCACAAGTAGGAAAGCCAAGATTAAGTCATCTCCATCAAAGGATCCTCAGAGTATTGCTGCCAAGGTTTGCTTCAATTACAAGCTTTAAAAACAAAAATTAAGTTTTGATTCCAAATCAAGCAAAGAACAGTGAAGACATGGGAAATTTTCATTGTAAAAAATTTAAAAGAATGTTTGTCTTCCAGAATCGAAGAGAAAGGATTAGCGAGCGACTTAAGATACTTCAGGAACTTGTTCCTAATGGCTCAAAGGTAATTACGATATATCTTAGTTCATATCATATTCTTTTAACTTTGCGTAATTGAATTGATTTTTCATATTCTCATTTCATATTATATATTTGCAGGTTGATCTGGTCACCATGCTAGAGAAGGCTATTAGTTATGTAAAATTTCTTCAGTTGCAAGTGAAGGTAAGTCTTCATTTAACTGGGTTTTATTATTTTTGTAATATACATACACAGAAACATAAATATATATAATTGTGTTTGAAGTTTTGATCTGATAATAACTTATATTATTTTGCGGTGCAGGTATTGGCAACTGATGAATTTTGGCCAGTCCAAGGAGGAAAAGCTCCTGATATTTCTCAGGTAAAGGAAGCCATTGATGCCATTCTCTCATCTCAGAAAGACAGGAATTCAAGCTCAAAGTGATAAGAAGATGAAGAAGAGAACTAATATTTACAAAATAATAATATAATCAGCCCACATATATATATATAACCAAATTAAGCACAAATTTCCAGGCAAAGAAAAAAAAAATCTCTATTTTGTAAGCTACTGATGCTGGATCAGATAAAAAAAAAAAAAAAAAAGAACAAAGAAATCCCAGTAGATAAATTTTTTTTAATTTCTTGTTTAAATTTTCTTTGAAGATCTTGAAGAACTGGATTCTGTAATTTGATATCTAAGCAAAACTGAGACTGCAACCTTGTCTTGGCTTCATTCAAAAAGAATCTATCCCTTTTTTTGTCCTTTCTTATCTCTATGCTAACAAGATCAATTATAAATATTAAGCTTAGATCTATATGTGTGTGTATATATATATATATATTATCTTATTGTTTCACATAAACTAATCTTTTACTTTAATAGATGAAAATTTGATTAGGGTTTTATTAATTTTAATATGTCTTAGTTATATTCCCAAGGGATACTTCATTTAGGGGTGAAACAATTGGATCGAGTTATAACTTATTGTTTATAAAAACAAACAGCTAATATTTTCATAATTAGTACGCGATATATAAACTTTCGAGTTAAAATTACAAAAAGAGAAATAACATTAGAAGAATATTAGATTCGATTTATAAAAAAAGTCTTAAAAATCGATAGAGATGACTAATAGATTTGATTGAATCAATTTGAATTTTTTTTAAAATTCTATAGTCTAAAACTTTTTGAAGATAATAAATCCATATGAGTTTAGAGTAGGTTAAGATAATACCGAATAAGTAAAACGATTATCCCTAAAATTGATATCAAATACTTTTTAAAAGTAACTAGTGTATTTTAATCTTTATAAAAAAATAAAATTAAAAGTATAAAAATCATATTTATAGAAATATATAAATCATATGTGATATTAGTGCACTTAATAATTTTAGTTAATTGTAACGATTCCGGAAATCCAAAAGAAAATATATAATAATTTAAGTGCGGAAGCAAAATAAAAAATTAAACTTTACATTCCTTATACAATAACTTAAAAGTATTAAACAGTATTTTGGAGTTAATTCTTTGAAAGAAACACGAAAAATAAGGAAACAAATGGAAAATAGAAAATATCTAGCATTTATTCGCAATCTTCTTGCGGATCGAGTTCTGGAACCTAATCCTCTTGATTTGAAATGGTTAAATAAATGATGAACTATACTAATCTAATAAAAATATCATACTATATCACCGGTACAGAAATAAAGGTTGGTATAAAATCAAAAATCACTAATGAAGTATTAAATTTAAACTAATACATTTATTAAAAATAAAATCATTTACCATTCACTTAACATAGTAGAATTTATTAAAACAACCTATAAAGACAATAATATCATACAGATCATAACTTCATGAACAATCAGTAATATAAAACATATTATAATTCCATATCCATTAACAATAAACCAAACCATAATTGTTTCTCTTTTCACCAGCCTATTAGTATCCATGGGGGTTAAGAGGGATGTCTCCGCTACACGTGTACTCTTTCCTTTAACAATCTCAATTACAGAACCGTCCCCATACCTCGTCCGGTATGAACGTCAAATCATTAAACCTCAATACCCCGTTCGATATGAAGGTGAATCGAGCCGTTCTCATACCCTGTCTAGTATGAGATAACGTTCACGATAGAGTACCCTATGTACCCGATCTGTCCACCATCTCGCAGAATATCTAGTAAGACTACCGTTCTATTTTTTTATTTAATCACACCACTTTTTCGTTTCTTTTAGTCTCCATTTTTAAATCAAACATAATCACATAAGAAAATAAACATGCATCATATAATGCAATCATGTCTCAAATTCTAAATCAAACAGTAGTCACGTAAGGCAGCAATTCATGCATTCAAATCATAAAATAAATCGATAAGACAATATCATGCTTTTATACTGTAAAATACATTAACAAAGATTAATAGAGAACAATTTTCTGTTCGGCCTCCATTATTAATCAGTAATTAATTATGCATGTTTACTAAAATTACACAAAATACTACATTATTATTTATTTAAACTTCAATTCTATGATAAGGAATAGGATGAGGGATCCTTAATCGATTTGATGCCGAAAAGTTAAATGATTTTCTGCGCCTACGGACGGTCCCTAGGTTCCTTAAATTTTTCTCCGGGAACTGAAACGCACTTATAGTACCTACAAATGTTCAAAATAAATCCAAAATCAGTCGGCAGACTGCCTCGGGTTGGCCGATTTTGCATCGATTCCTGAGAGCAAACACGTTAAAGGGCCTAGGTTGGCCAAAAAAAAAATACGAAAAATCGAAACTCACCGGTGGCAGCTCCTCTGGCTCACGTTGCAGTTGGGTGTTTCGCTTCGGTCAATCTATAGAGAAGAAAACGGTTATCACAATAGTGGAAAACTTAAGCAAAACGGGAATCGGGAAGGGATTCATCGGAGGCGTTTTGTGAAATTTTTTACGGCAGTACCGCCGGACTTTGTTGATATTTTTTAGCCAATTGACCGGTTTTTTCACTTCGATTTGGCTATGGGTGAGGTTAAAATTGAATTTCGTGCAAAAGAGAAATTTTTTACCTTTTTTGGCTGTCGAAAAGGGTTCCGGTGCGGCAGCGAGTGGCGGTAGTCAGATCCCCGGCGGTTGGGTCATCTTCTCCGACGAGGGGTTCTGCGGGCTAGGGTTAGGGTTTGGTGCGAATGGAGGTTATTTATATCCATCCGCTTTTGATCTGGACCATCCATCGCGTTTGATCTAGACCGTCCGATCGCAATTAAATATGAAATGAATCTGAATCGTTCATCACGATCAAATCTGAATCGTCCATCACAATTCACTCTGGACCGTCCGATCGCGTTTGAATCTGGTTGTTCGATCGCGTTTGGGAGGGAGCGCATTCAGGTCGTCCGTGCGCGGGGGAACAGACCTTAGCCGTTCAATCGCGAGCACGCGAATCGCCCATGTGGCTCCCTCGCATGGCCTCCTGTGTCAGCGTCTCTGCCACTTGGCGCATCCTGGTTGGTCAGAGCTGCTGACCCGGCGTCCGACGTGATGAAACTTTCTAAAATTACGTTTTGGCCCATGTTTTCTGATTTTTTTTTCAAAAATACTCATAGAACTCAAATTTTCACCTTTTTTTTTTCAAAATTGTTTTCAATTTAATCATCAATCAATTTTACTTCATTTTTTCATTAAATTAAAAAAAAACTACAAAAATTATATATATAATTTAATTCAATATTTGAATAAATTTGGATGTTACATTAGAAGCTAATTAAACAATTAGCTAATCAATTAATTTATTTTCCAAAAAGAACAAAACCAAAGAGAGCATTCAATTAGATAATTGGAGTCGGTGTATAAACGAATTTAATCCAATTATTTGCAAAAGTTAATCAAACACTAATTAGCTTGACTTTTCTTAATTAAATAATTAAGCTTGGATTAATCAGACACTTGGCAGTTGACTAGCGATTTGCATGGTCATTTGGAACCAGCAGCTTAACGTGTGATATGTATGGCATCACACATGGAAACAACTATGCAACGACCAGAAATTATATGCATTTATTCTTTGATAAGTTGACTTTGGCTTATCTTTAAATTAATTAATCACTTTTATTAATTAATCAATAATTAACACTTTCTTAATCTCATTTTTATGTTTAATGGTATTGTTATTGGATATATAATATATTCATAACTGATTATAAATTTTAATAATCAATTTTCTTACAATAATCGTAGTAAAATATTGTACATGTGGGCCTTTATTAATTACACTATATATATACATATATATATATATTCTCTTTTATATCTATTCACTGAACCGAAAAAGTTAATGGGTATTAAAAGGATTGGCTATATAATAAAGTTTTTGCATGCATTTAATTTCTTCTTCCATCCTCTTCTGTATATACAAATCTGAAACATCTCTATTATATATATATATATACTTGTATTTACGTATATATATATATATATATATATGAAAGCAAAATTGAAAACATGCCACGTGGTAGTTTTTTATTTTTTTAAAATGAGTATTTTTAAATTTAGTTTTTTAATCTAAAATTAAGATTAGTTAACTCTTTTTTAATCAATTATCTAATATAAATTTTACTCATATTAAAATTTTTAATGAAACCAAAATAATATAATTAGTTAGAAATTTTAATAAATTTATAAAACATGGGAATAAAAAATATAGTGTATATATATATATATGTGTATATCTAATCAATTTCACCATACAAGAAAAAGAAAATTAACAAGTAAAGAGATATTTTGGTCTAATTAATTACTGTAATTAGTGATGAAAATAATAAATTTTGTAATATTATATTAAATTTGGTTAATCTGAGTCTTTAATATTGAAATATTGTCTGAAGAGAAAGTCACATGGTAATCACATGATTAATCCCACATTAAGCGCTAAAATGGACCATTAATTAATAATTAATTACATATTAATTATATATTAATTCAGAAAATTAATTTAACTTAATACTAATAATATTATTATTATTTGATTCTCTTTTTTTTTTCTTTTTTTTGCCCATCTAATTTTTTTTGTTAGCTCTAGTTTATTTTATATCAAGAGTATTAGGGAATATGCCTTTTTTTTTCTTTTTTTAAAGATATATTATATGTTATATGTTATATTAATTTATTTCACTTTTCATATACATATATATATATATATCATACAAAATAAAATTATGCAATATGAGGAAAATTGAATATTGGTTATTTGAGACGCTTGATTTTAGTCACCACTTAATTATTATTAATTTATATATGCATATATAGTATTAATAATTTCTCACTCAGTCATTGATATCTATATATATATATATATATATATACACGTACATACACACACTCTCACCTGTCTTCCTGTCATGAATAAGTATACATTTGGAGAGTATTATTTAAGTATGTGTATGTTATGTAC